TCTGCATTTTAAGGCATATCATTTTTGCCAGTTTATAAAACAATTTTTCTCATAAGCATGGTTTATGGTCCAAGGAAAACATAATTTGTGGATGGCAAGAAAAGAAGAAAAAGAGAGAAAGAAAAGAAAAGAAGAAAGATAGAGAGGAGTGTGAGGGAAAGAAAGGAAAAGAATGAGAGAGAGATGTGTGGGAAAGGAGAGCAAGGAAGGAAGGAAGGAAGGAAGGGAAGGAGGTAGGGAGGGAGGAAGGATGAATTAGAAAGTTACATGATTCCTACTACTTCAGTTTTGACAAAAATTTCTATACTCACCCACTTAAAAAAAAATAGCTATGTTGGAACTCAAAATGCATAGTGATTGGGTCCCAACAGAAGAGATTCGCCTTTGTTAAGTGAATTGTGGAGTCCCTGTACACACCACTTGGGGTCCCTGTGCACACCAAGAAGGACCAGGTGAAGACAGGAAAGGCTAATGAGTGGGAGGGAGGAAATACTGGAATAGAGTTCTGGCAGAATGTTTTGGAGAAAATAAACAGAAAATGGAAGAACAAGGAGCCAAGAATATATGTCACCCAAATTGTAAGTCAGATAATAACCATTGTTGACCATGATGAAGGAAAACAAATTTTCATGCGCTGCATATAAGTCTGTGAATGGATACAACCTTTGGGGAAATAATTTGACATTAGACAGTAACGATGAATTTGTCCTGAACCTGCAATTTCACTTCTAGGTATATACCCAGGAGAAACTCTAGAATACATTCTGCAGGCCATGTACATAGAACTACAATAGTAGTGTTGGGCAAAGAAAAAAAAATAGTGACCCCCCCCATAGGCCCATTAGCAGTAGAATAGAGGGAAAAAATCCGTCTGGCAAACACTATGGCTGTGAACTACAGTTATATGAGTTAACATGGCTGAATCACAAAAACATACTGAATGAAAAAAAGCAAGTTATAGAAGAAATTACACACAGTATGATTCCGTTTATATAAAGATAAAACACTGGCAAAACTAAACAATATGTTTTTTAGGGTTACATACATATGTGCCACAACTATTAAAATAAATAAAAGAAATGACTATCACAAAATTCAGAATAGCAGTTGCAAAGTTACTGGAAATGTTTTATGTCTTGAAACTATTCATTACATTATTTTATTAATAACTTGTATAGATTATATATTCTTTTGTATGTATTACATATTTATAATTCTCAAAGAGTTGTTAAAAAATAGAGTCAGAAGTTCATGGGAAGGTGTCGGGGGTGAGAGAAGAGGGCCACACATCAGCTGAACCAGGGCAATTGTTCCAGATCTAAACTTGGGATTTGCACTCAAGGAAAACAGATGGCACTGTTTGGGTACATTCTAGGCACTAAAAAGGAAGGGTCCTGAAATTCATATACATTAATCCCTCCACCTCCTCCAAAAAGGTTCAGTTGTCTCTCTCATTAACTCTAGCAACTTGTAATCCCCTCCCTGCTCAGCGCTGCCTGCGGGCACTTGAATTAGTCTTTATCTGCAGAGCATGCTGAAGCGCAAAGTCTCTGCTCACTGTCTGGGTCTACATCAAGAAGCATCTAATATTTGCCAGCTATTTGGTGGATTAAAATCTTTCAGTGGCTCTTCCACACCTATAAGATGTAGCAATGCTCTCTGCTGCCCCCATGCTTTGAATATGCTATTTCCCTGCTTGGAATGTCATCCTCACAGCTCATCCCATGATGTCCTCTTAGGATAACTGCATGTTATCCCCGTGTGAGTGAGGACTTTCCCTGTCTCTCCAACCAGGTTTGCACTCCCTCTTCTGGGCCTACACAGGAACCTATGTGTAGCTCTATTACAACATTTAGTCATTAGTGGAATTAATTGATGACATGGTTCTGTCCCCACTAGACTCTAAACCCTTCAGAGTCATGACTGGATATTCAGGGGGGCCTTCACAGGCAGTGCTCAGTTAGAATGGGTAAAGAGGCTGGAGCCAAGCCCTGCAGGTGACTCCCCTCAAACTGCTGAATTACTGGGAGGCGAGGAGATAGTAGGACAGAAGGCCAGGCAGCCGGGATGAAGGGAGAGGGGTGAGGCTTCAGACAGAATATATTTCCCAACCAGCAGAGAATTATTTCAATATTATAACAGCTGGCATGGCCATTATATCTCGATATCTAACAGCACAATATCCATCTTCTCTATATCCCTAAGGATAGAGCATTATACCTGATAGTAGATACTTAATAAATATTGAAAAAACAAGACTTTTTTAAAATATATTTTATTGATTATGTTATCATAGTTGTCCTATTTTTTTCACCTCTTTACCCCCTTCTGTACTGCACCCTGCTCCCTACCAGCATTCCCACCCCGCTTAGTTCATGTCCATGGTTCATTCATGTAAGTTCTTTGGCTTCTCCATTTCCTATACTATTCTTAACCAACCCCTGTCTATTTTATACCTACCATTTATACTTCTTATTCCCTGTACCTTTTCCCACATTCTACCTCCTTTCCCTCCCCACTGATAACCCTCCATGGGATCTCCATTTCTGTGATTCTGTTCCTGTTCTACTTGTTTGCTTATGCTTGTTGTTTGTTTGTTTTAGGTTCAGTTGTTAATATTTGTGAGTTTGTTGTCATTTTGCTGTTCATAGTTTTGATCTTCTTTCCCTTAGATAAGTCCCTTTAACATTTCATGTAATAAGGGGTTGGTGATGATGAACTCCTTTAACTTGACCTTATCTGGGAAGCACTTTATCTGCCCCTACATTCTAAATGATAACTTTGCTGCATAGAGTCCTTGCTTTTCATCACTTTGAGTACTTTTTCCAGCTCCTTTTTACCTGCAAGGTTTCTTTTGAGAAATCAGCTGTCAGCTTATAAAGGAGTCTTATAAGAACTCCTTTGTAGTTAACTATCTCCTTTTCTCTTGCTGCTTTTAAGATTCCCTCCTTATCTTTAATCTTTGGTAATTTAATTATGATGTGTCTTGGTGTATTCCTCCTTTGGTCTAACTTCTTTGGGACTCTCTGAGCTTCCTGGATCTCCTGGAAGTCTATTTTCTTTGCCAGATTGGGGAAGTTTTCCTTCATTATTTGTTCAAGTAAGTATTCAATTTCTTGCTCTTCCTCTTCTCCTTCTGGCACCCCTATGATTCAGATGTTGTAACCTTTATAAAGTTATACCAGAGGTTCCTAAGCCTCTCCTCATTTTTTTGAATTCCCATTTCTTCGTTCTGTTCTGGTTGAATGTTTATCTCTTCCTTCTGCTCCAAATCGTTGATTTGAGTCCCGGTTTTCTTCCCTTCACTGTTGGTTCCCTGTATATTTTTCTTTATTTCACTTTGCATAGCCTTTACTTCATCCTCTATTTTGCATCTGTATGCAGTCATTTCTGTGAGCATCCTGATTACCAGTGTTTTGAACTCTGCATCTGATAGATTGGCTATCTACTCATTGCTTAGTTCTTTTTCTGGAGTTTTGATCTGTACTTTCATTTGGGCCATATTTCTTTGCCTTGGCACACCTGTATAATTGTAAGGGGTGGAGCCTTAGTTATTTGCCAGGGCAGGACAACCCCCTGTCACTGCGTTGAGATGCTAGATGTGGGGAAGGGGTCAGAGAGGGAGCAATGATGCTTGCTGGGCTCTTGCCCTGCTTTCAGTCACTTCACCCACTACCCACAAGCAAATTGGGCCCTTCTGGTGCTGATTCCCAGGTGGGTGGGTTTGGGTACATTCTAGGACCCCATGGGTCTCTCCAATGAACTCTCGTGAGGCTGGAAGTTTCTCCTGCTGCCGCAACCCGCTTTACAGCCAGAAATCTTTGAGACTTTATTTCTCTGCACTGAAAACCTGGATTGCGCAGTTTGTCTTGCTCCCAAGTTGTTCCTCGCAAGTTATCCACACTCAAATGTGGGACTGCCAGTTTGCTAGCTGTTGCCTTTCCACATGTCTTCTCCTCACCAGGTGCCCTTCTTCGCCCCTCCTACCAGTCGGGATGAATGCTTCTTATTTAACTCTTCGGTTGTTGGACTTCCATACAGTTTGTTTTTATAGCAGTTCTGGTTGTTTTTTGCTTTTCAATTTGTTGTTGTCATCCTTCATTTGGTTGTGCAAGGAAGCAAAGTGTATCTACCTATGCCTCCTTCTTGGCTGGAAGTCCTGAATAGACATTTTTTAACTCAGACTCACTCCCTCTAGCTCTAGCACTGGGGTGGCAGCTTGAAAGGTACCAGTGGCATACTGGAAGAGGTTGAATTGTCTGGCATCGGGGCAAGCAAGGGTCATTGTCCCTTTTCTGAGCCTTCTACCTGCAGAGGCACGAAGTCAGCAAGCTGGTACCATATTTGACTCCATCAACCTGGCTAACACTCACAAGGCATATCTTAAATTACAATCGGAATCATTGGCTAATTTCCCAAAAAGAAGGAAGAGGAAACTGAAATCTGGCTTCTATGGTGACTATATTGTCTTTGTCATCCCTTCATTCATTTCCCCCTTCATTTAAAAACAAAGATCGGTTAATAGATGGGTATGAGCTCCAACTTGGTCCAATAAGATTCAGTTCTGAGGTTTTTGCTTAAATACTTCCATCCCCTCCAAGCCCCTCCAACCACCCAGGATGCCAATAGTATTGGGAGCTCCTGGCAGCCATCTTGCCCCCATGAAGGAGAGCCTGTTAAGAAAGAAGCCTGTAGAAAACCAAGACATGAGGAGAGTCAGGTTCCTGTAAGTTGCTTTAAACTCCCAGACCCATCTATGCCTGTAGATTCATCTTGCTCCTTTCAGTTAAATGACCCAATTAATTCCATTTCTTGCTTATAATATTTTGACCTTTTTTTTTTTGGTATTGTTTATTTCCCCTTTGCAATTACAAGTCAGGTCTAATTCAGCTAGAAAGATAACCTTCCTTGAGTAAAAAAATACAAATCTAAGTTTTTATATATGTATCTCTTAACTTTTCACATCCTATGACATTTGGCAGTTCATTTTAGTAACTCACCTTTCACCAAGTAGAACATTTGATAGATTTATAAATGAGGGAAAATCCAATGTGTTCATGACAGGATAAGCATGGATGGGAATAAGCAAAGTATCATCACCCTAAAATTAACAAGAAAAAAGTCATGTTTATCATACTGAAGGCCAAAAGCTTTAAAGATGAACTAGTAGGTACTTTATTTTTTCTATCATTAAAATATATTTTTAGAAGAAACATTTCCTTAAGAAAACTGAGTGTTTAAATACATTTAAAATATAGATTTTTCTTAGCTATAAATAAAGTACAAATAACTTTAAGTATATCGCATTGAAATAACATTCACTATAATGCTGGAAAGCTAAAAATAATGATGCCTTCATGTAGATATGAAGATTGCAGTCTGTCTTTCAATTTCAGAAAGTTTTAGGGAAACGATCTTTGGAGGCTTGAGAGGAAGAGAAACCAGCACAGAATCAGCTCATCTAGTACTGAACATAAACAGAGAACTGGAAGAAGGGCAGAGGCCCACTTCCAGTCCTGCATAATGTAGGACCTTAAGCATGACCTTCAAACTCTCTAGGTCATGTACAAAGCTATGTTTCTTCCTTTGCAAAACAGGGATGTTCTGCCTTTCCTTAAACGTCTTTTCAAGAATTAAAGTAGATGATGGCCTTAAAAAGTTAAACATACTGCATAAATGCAACGTATTTTCAGCATTACTATTAAGAGCAGGAAGCATCCTGGGGCACTCTATACAATGCCTGGTCTAGGGATTTGTGTTCTTGGTACAGAATATTCCTCCTAAAAACAATATTCTTGTTTCAGTTTTAGTTTTTTTCCTTTTTAAAAATTGAAACTCATTTGTTACTAAAGCAAACTCTCCTATTTTAGTTTCGAAAAATTAAATTTAGTTAACCTAAAGGTTTCTCCACTAACAAGAGTTGGGGCTGGAATATGGAGCAGAGGGAAGTGTGGAAGTGACCATTCTTGGAGAAGGACTGACAGCTCGGGAGCTGGCTCTGGCTGGAGCCAAGGGACGACTTAGGAGACCTAGAAAAGGCTCATAAGAAGTCACATGGCACAGCCAGCCATCTGGGGTCAGGCGGCACAGGCTTCCACAGCTCTACAGATCCCCAGGGCTGCCACTGAGGACACTCCCACATAAGATATGATCCAGTCCTCAGTGTTTATAAACACACCTTGGGATTCTTATAAACACACCTTGGGATTCTTACTAATTTTTTAATCTATCACTTAAAAGAGTGTGGCTAAGTTATTTGAAAAAGCCTTAATCAATTCCCAGTATCACATGCTAAACGAGGTTTTTAGGCCAAGGAAGGTGGGAAACCTGCAGCAAACTGTGTCTAGTGGCTCTGCTCCAGTTTTCAGCAGCCTAATGAGATCCTACCTGGGACCCACTGGACAGAGAGACCCTTATGCCACTCAGACGGGCTGAACAACAAACACCAGGCATGGGCCGAGAAACTTCATGCCTGTCATCCCATCTCTTTCCTTCCCTTAAGGATATTAGTTTTGACACCATCCCCACCCTCAAAAGCCTGATTTTAAGAAACTTACCTTACAGTGAACACGGATGCAGTCATAATAGTATCGCCATTCATCTGGAGAAAATGTAACGGTGACCGTGAGGGATAAGCCAGGTACAAGGCGGTGTTCCTAGAAGAAAAGGGGTCTCTTGTTGGGACAAGTCCCAGAGTACTCAGAGAACAGGTCTCTGGTAACAACACTCTACATACCTGACCTGTGACACAGAAAACTTCAACTCCATAAAGAACACCATGGGAGAGTAGGCTGTCCAAAGGCACTTACCTTCTTCACGTACTTGATCTGAAAGTATTTGGTCTGTGGGGGTAGGATATGTACATGTACATCTTCGTTGGAAATGTTGACCAGATGCTGGGAGAGAAAAAAAGCATTCAGAATAAACACACCGTTTTATCTATTTGTGCATTCATTTCCTCATTTATTTATCCTTCATCTTGTTCCTAAAGGGATTTGAGAAGATACAATGCATTTTTTAACTTGAAAATATATTCTAAATCCTCATATGCCATTTAAATAAAATAAATACATCAATCACCATTTAATGAGTAATAAAATATGCCCATGTGCCTTCTGTCCAGTTTAAGAACTTCACCAGAGGCTGCACCCCACCGCCCAGGGTGCCCCCAGGCATGTATCCTCCTCCTTGCTCCCAGGTATGTATCTCATGGTTGAACTCACTTTAGCCCTGTGATTCAGCTGAGCTAAGGAGCCAGACATCCACCAACTCTCACAGTTTCTCTAATTACATGTCCCTGGTCTTGGGGACCCCCAGACAATTAAGCAGTCAAAAAATCATAAAAAAAATAGCGTGGCTAGAGTAGGCTCCAATCTACCCCTGGGGCAAATGTAAAGGGACTAACGGTTAGAAGTTCTCTGATAGTGATAGGAGGCCAACACTGTGAAACACGCCAACCTGCCGGATAAATTAACTGGGTCTCTGAGTTGAGGTGCTTTTCCTTCCTCTGCTTAAGAGGGGAGCAAGAACTTTAGTTTCTGGGCATCAGGGCTTCACCTGGGCCAAGGGACAGTTAAGAGGCCTTTGGATTCCACAGTCTAGGCCAGAGGTTGGGTCTGTCACTGAACCCACTGCCCAAGGACTCATATTTATTAAAGCCCTAAATTAGGTTACAGATATTATTTCTTGGTGAGGTTACATTGGTGTTTGCATTTATTAAAAGTTCTTATTTGTCACCTATGAACATTCTCAAAGTATCACAATTTATGTGACCCTTTTTTGGCATCTATCTATCTTCTATCTATCTATCTACCTATCTATGTAATATATTATAGTCCGTCCAGAAAAAGTCCAGCCATTGTTAACATAACAAGAATGGTTTGTGAAGCATCGATGTAACCTCACGGCCAAGGAGAGTGGACTGGAATGCACATGTGTGAACAATGATGACTTCACTGTACTAGCCAGTGGGGGTGGTAGATACCATTGAGTGAGCATGTGTATTGTGTGGCCATTGCATCAAATTTTGCATCAAGCTTAAATATCCCTTTGTGGAAACTATTTGGATGATTCATAAGGCTGCAGCTATGGGCAGCTGGTGACTGGCAACTTCATCATGCCAACACGCTCACTTGTGCATCATGTGTCATGCAGAGTGTTTTTGTTGAAATACCCCAGGTGACTCAGCCCCCCACAGCTCAGATTTGGTACCCTGTGTCTTCTGTCTTTTCCCAAAACTAAAATCACCTTTGGAAGGAAAGAGATTCCAGACTACCGACTAGATTCAGGAAAATACAATGGGTCAGCTGATGGCAATTGCGAGAAAGAACTGTGTGAGGTCTCAAAGTGCGTACTTTGAAGGGGACTGAGGTATCCTTGTCCTATGTGCAATGTTTATTGTATCTTCTTCAATGAATGCCTCTATTTTTCATAGTACATAGCTGGATAGTTTCTGGACAGACCTCATTATTAAAAGCCTAAAAAAAAAAAGGTTGCCAAGACATCTCTTGACTTCCAGGAGCATAGCGGTAATCTTGGTGAAGTTATGAGCTCCTGGGGTACTACCCTGAGACTGGTCCTTCCAGGAGAGGCTGAGAGGACAGGTATGCTGGGACCCAGGATGCCTGCAGCCTGTGCTTGAGGTGGTGGCACCTGCCTGGAGATGGAGAGGTAGCCACTCAACCCCAGGTTCTGGGAGTCTTCACAGTAGTTCTTCTCCATACTTGTCTTGGAGGGAGGACTATAAAGGCCTCAAGCTGGAGTCCAAAAATAACTGGGAGCATTTGTGGTTACATTGTCAACACTTTAGTTCAGTAAGAACAGTGCAACAAACAAGGTCATGTGAACTGGTTTTAATGTGTACCCCAAGAGTGGTTAAGCTTAGGAGAAATCAGTAACCTGCACTCCAGGAGAGCTCAGGGTGCACTGAGAGATCCTGCATCAGAGTTCACACTCCAGAGGCAGCCACTGAGAATGCTGCAGGTATGCTCACCTGAACTGATATTTTGAGGGCTCTTCTCTATGAGCCTAAGGGGTGCTTGGCATATATGTATAGAGATAGGCATTTTTGCTCTTGAACAAAAGTGTTATGAGATTCTGGTGAGTCCAGAGCCCAGTCTCCTTTGGAAGGACATTTAAAAGCCCAGGACTCCATGTTTTACACTTCACAGAATTTTTAAAAATTCTGTCAGCCAGGTGGAAGGTTGGCTGATCCTACCAACAGTATTGCTGCCTGCAAAGCTTCCCTGCAAGAAGCTCCAGCTCAGACTTCTTGGAGATTCCAAGTCTGGTGACTCTTTTTTTCCCTGCTTGTTAATCAGGGTTTATCTGCTTGGTGGAATTTCTTTTCGAAGTTGTTTTCATTGCAGCAGACTACATAGTAAAACGTTTGTTAGGAGGGGACCTGTAGTTCCCACCTGCCATCAGGGTCGGATGATCAATGAGAAACAACTTCATTGGCCTTAGTCAGTTTGCAACTAGCAGTATCACAGGCTGAAGACCAGAGGCGGGTCCTCAAAGCCACTGGGCTGGCTCAGGTGTCCCAATACTCTGGAATGCTCCCAAGGGAGACTGGAGCTGGAGGTCCAGAAATTGGACATCCAGCCAACACCTATGGGTAAGGGGCTGAGCCAGATTTCAATTTTGAAAACAAAGAACTTGATGTTTCCTCCAACCTGAGTGTGGCAGAGAAAATCTACCATGCCCATTATCTATTTGTGTGTGAAAGCAGCATGTGGAATTCAGGAGATGATGTCTGTATTGCCAAGTGAGAAACAGCTGGCAATATGAAAATACTGAAAGACTTCATTAAAGAATAAAACAATATAGATGTTGTTCCTGATAATACAGGACATATTATGTGGCTAGAGTTTCCATATTTATCTTTAAAAGATGCTTGATCTGGAATTGTGCATTTGGATCGATAAAGAAATAAATAACTGACTCAAACAAAAGCTTAGATATTTAGGTTTACCTAAATAGGGAGTGTAAAAAGAGGAAGAAAATTTTCAGCTTTTTACTTAACATCTGAATTGAAATGAAGACTTGCTAAGACCAAAGGGCTGGGCCTACCACTTTTCTGGATAGTAGACAGCAGGGGTCTAAGAAGGGAGTCAGGAGACCTTAGTGATGGTGGGAGGGCAGCAAACCCTTCTCACATGCACATGTGGACCAATCCCAGGGGACGCGTTTGCCAATGAGTTTTAAAAATAAACCTAAATCAGTAACAAACCCTAAAAAATTAAAGTAAAAATGAACAACTTGCTCTATACATTTTAGAAAACAAAGTCAACGTCCAAGAGACTGACTTCCAAAATCCACTGGATATTCTATTAATTATGCAGTTCTCAATTTTTTGTTACAAATGCTAACATAATCTATGGTCTTAGTCCTATTGAAGGCTGTGTTGTCTGAGACCCAGAAGGACTAAGAGGACACTGAGTTCTTTTATTACTTAACCTCCTTATTACATGAAGACATGGTGGTTTCGTACCACTCACAGTGCAAAGGGTTAAGTGGCAGAGTCAGGTCTTCAGCTTGTCTACAACTCTGGTCTAGGGTTCCTTCGGCTACAGCCTATTGTCTCATAGCTCACCATATCTCAGTGCCTGAAATGCATTTCCTATTTTTCTTTTGTTCTTTATCAGCAGGTCAGTTTCATGTTTTAAATTGTTAAAAATAATATCCTTTCAGGGCTAAAATGGCATTCCTGCCTTTCCATGGTAACTAAAACTGGAAAAAAAAATAATCATTTTAGGGGGGAAAAATCCTTGAGAAAGTAAAGGAAGTGTTTAGAAGTGTTTACATTAATAATAAAAGTTTATTTGAAAACACAAGAAAGCATAAGCAACTCAGTGTTACCCTTCAGTGTTGCCTAAAATCCTACCCTGTCTTCCAATTTTAGGGTCAGTAGATGTCCCCAAATCCTCCAAGATCTCTAGTCCACTGAAGGATGACCCTCTCCTGGCCCTGTGGGTCCTTCTGACTTTGATGTTGCCTCCATAGGGCACCACATTAAATTTAGCACCTGCTTCAGTTTTTCAGAACTGATCCCCACAACAAACAAACAAAAACCCATCCAACCAATGGGTTTAACAGCTTTTACTCAAGATTCACAGGAATTTCCCAAGTTTTTCCCTCGGTTCTATTCACTCCCCCTCCCATCTCCATTTCCCACAGGCACCCCTCTGTGTCTTCTCAGGGGATCCCACTTTTCTCTCCTCCGCCACACAGAGCAGAGCCAAACCCAGTCTCCAGTGCAGTGTTGGTTTGGGGTGAGTAGTGCCTAACCTTTAACCCCAAGCACTTATCATAGTATTTTTCAAAACATGACACTTCAGACTTGATGTTGGGGTCTTTAATACTTTCCTTCAGTGGCACAGCTTCTCAAAAGAGGTTAATATTTAACCCCAGGGATCTGGGAACAAAATTCAAGCAGCTTATAGGTTCTTTGAAGTGCCTTTATCTTAAAATGCATGTTGATCATGAATTTTACTCTAAAATTTTGCTCTGTAATGCATTTCTCTAAAACAAGAGAGCAAAACTGATGCTCCAAAAGATGTTCTGTGTTCACACTGGAGCTACACCACTATCCACCCTAGCACACTGAGGAGAGGTGTTGAGTAATGAAATGAGTAGCCAGAGGGGAAATAAAGGCAGTGCCCTCACCACTGCAGTCTAACAAAGAACTTAATACAGGAGGCTAGAAGTAAAAGGAAGACAGGTCTCACCAGTTGACTCAGCAGTCCTGAGCTCAGTTTGGTAAGATTGCTGGGTGCCTGAGCACTACAAGCAAAATAGCATAGGAAGAGGGGAGAGTCCTTGGAACTGTGCTGAGAAAAGGGGCTTCTGTAAGCTTCTGTAACAATCTCACTAAGATTGCCGAGTGTCCTTAATTCACAAGCAGGAATCGTACAGGAAGAGAGAGGGTGGGGCATCCCTTGAGATTCCTTGCAGAGAAAGGGAGCTTCTATAACAATTTCCCTAAGACAAAAAGCCTTTACTACCTAAGAAAGGAAGCCTTTGTAGCTGTACGTTATTTCCAAGGGGAGGAGAAGGGGGAATCTAGAAGCTAGCTAAGGTATATAACTCCTGAACCCCAACAGTCAGCATACTTAGATTAGTACCTTCTTGTAGCCTCGGCTCAAGTATATAGGACAAACTTACTAACAACTCTATTTCCTCTATACATGGGGCATTTAGACTAGCCAGGTGCCTGCTTGCAGTTTTGTGCTTGTATGTGTTTCATAAATAAATTTGATATCTCATTTCCACTATACAGGTTTGTCTCTTGCTTGAATTATTCTCTTGCGGGTAAGACAAGAACCGAGGTAGGGTAGGGAGCCTCTTGACTCGGTTCTCTCTCTCCCCATCCATAACAGAGGCTGCTGGGATTCATGGGTCGGGGCGGGGGAATCTCTAATGACTGCACTAGGAAATTGAAGACTAACACTATTATTTCAGGAAGGCTGAGGAACTGTGAATTTATGTAAGGTGAGGTTATAGAAGCTAACGACTTTGTTTTGGGCTGGCAACATCAACACCAGTTTCTTGTGGGGAAATTGATTATTTAATTAATAATTACAGTTTCCCAGACGAAACCTTAACACAGAAGGAAAAAGAATCGAAGAGATCTTGGTTTTGAGAAAACTAGGCATCATTGTTGTAAATTTTAAAGTAAATCATAATATTGATTTCAATATGAATCCAAGTAAAATGCTTTCACTTCTTCAACTAGATCTAGATCAATTTCAAATGTTAATGAACAATTTATCGTGGTTTTAAATCCATATTCAATCTTTCCATTCTTGGGCAATTTGCATAGTTTCCTGTAGCAAAACCAAGATAAAAGCAGAGTTGGATTTTCCCCCTTGTTTGGCAAGAATCTCAAGGTAATTGCCTTAAGTTTCTGCTTTACTTGGCTAATGGAAACAGGAGGCTGGCTCTTCCAAGATCTCCCAGGATGTTATTAAGATGAAATCTGTTTCAGTTTTACTGTTTTACTTTTATCAGTTTGTTTGTTTTAATGTCTGATAGAAGGAGTATGATTATTTAGACTTAACCCTGTATTTTTTGGAATTACTGAATCTCTGCCAAGTCACTCACTTCCAATTGTAGACCCCGAGAAAGAAGACACCACCAGGAAGGGCTCCTGGTGGCTAACTGAGCTCAACTTTAAAAGCAGAGCCTAGTTGCTATTGCTAGACAACAACACAAACCGTACTTGAGGGAGAAACGTGAACTCAACTGCCTTTCTCCCCCATTGAACTACCTGCTTGTACTGTATTCCTGCCATCTGAGCCAGACCTTATAAAGGAGTTCTTGGAATTGTATTTCAACCAATAAGACTGAGGCTTTACCTGTCCGATTGTAGCTGTGTGGCTCTATCCCCATCAGCATCTTCACCAATCAGAGTAGTTCCATTCTGACCAAGCAGGACAGTGCCTTTTAGACAAGTCAAACTGAGGATTTAAAGTCTTCATTTCCATGAATATGACCAGTCAGCACTGGTCTGGCTCAGAGAGAGAACTTTCCCTTTCTAATGAAGACAGAAGATTGTGTTTTCTAGTCTGGAGCTGAAAAACTGAAGGAGTCTCACTTGAAGAGCAGAATGGAGCAGAGTAGAGCAGGTGGAGCGGAGCAGGGCAAAGGAGACCAGACCAGACTGGTACAGAGCAGGCTGGTGTGGAACAGAGCAGGACAGAGCAGAGCCGCCTCATCCAAGGGCCGTCCTGCTCAGGGCTACCTCACAGCTGTGCTTTTTCACAGCTGTACTGCTTTAAAATTGAGCTGTAACACTACTGAGCTGCTCCACAGCCATGCTGTATCACAACTGCACCGTTTGCACTGAATAAAGTTTTCTTTTACATAATACCCCAACTTGGGGATTCCTGTTGGCATTGAATTGGTACTAATGACCATTAGTTTACACAATAAAATGAGTTCAACATCTTCTTAAGTATTTATTAAGTGCCTTCTGTGTTTTAGGCATTGTGGTATACAAAAGACAGGAATGGCCTCTGTTCTTCAGCAGAATGAAGCTTTTACCTCCCTTCAAAAACCCTACAACCCAGGTAAACTAGGTTGCCTCCTGGTCTCCAAATATGCTATATGATTGCTTACCCTGAACCTCTCTCCTTGATTTCCTGCTTTTGGACTATCCCAAATAGCCTTTTTACATCATGACCAGTAACCTAATGAAAAAATGTTAGACATCATTAGTCATTAAGGAAATACAAATAATACGATAGAGAGTTGAATGGTGGCCACAAAAAATATGTCTATACGCTAATACCTGGAAGCTGTGAATATGACCTTATTTAGGAAGGGGTCATTACAGATGGTATTAAATTAGGGACCTTGAGATGAGATCATTCTGGATTACCCAGATGCAACCTAAATCCAATAAAAAGAGTCCTTTTAACTTACAGAAGAGAAGAAGATACAGTAAATCAGAGGAGAAAGGCATGAGAAGATGGAAGTAGAGATTTGAGTTATGCAGCTACAAGAAAAGAACATCTGGAGCCACCATAAGCTGGAATAAGCAAGGAAAGATTCTTCTTAAGAGTTTTAGAGGGAGCCCTACTGACTCCTTGATTTTGGACTCTGGTATCCACAATAATATTCTGTTTTTTTAATCCCCTAAAATTGTGGTAATTTGTTATGGCAGCCATAGAATACTAATATTCTACTCCTTGATATATATATCCAGAGAATTGAAAATATGTCCCTATAAATAAAAACATGTACATGAATGTTTGTAACAGCATTTGTTATTTACCATAGCCCCAAAGTACAAACCCAAATGTCCATCAGTGGATGGATGAGTGCATAAACAAAATGTACATCTACACAATGGAATATTATTCAGCCATAAAAAGAAATGAGGTATTGATATGTGCTATAAGCTGAATGAACCCGGAAAGCATGCTAAATGAAAAAAGCTAGTCACAAAAGACCATATGTCCTATAATTGCATTTATATGAAATGTCCAGAATAGGCATATCTATATCAACAGAAAGTAGACTGTAGTTGCCTAGGGGAGTGGATGAGGAGAGTGAGGGGACTAGGGATGGGTGGTAAATTGTTTATTCATTAGAAACAATTAAAATTTATGAATGATAATGATTTTCGATCTACCCTACCATAACCTAGAGAACAAATCTAATAACCAGGAAAATAAAGCTTCAAAATGTATTATTAACCTGGGCCTTTGATGCCACATTCTAAGAAATGTGTCTCTGTAGGTTGATGGATGAAGTTCCTAGTCACAGTTTCAAATCCTAACTCTTTTCCTGAGAGGAGGCACTTGGCACCTAACAGGTTCCTCTCATAATCTGTCCTCTCGCTACCCACTTCAATCATAAGGACTCATGGAAGCTGCATCCTTAGTCCGATGGGAACTGCTAGATAAAATCTAACCTCACTTCCTGTGAAGTTGTACCACTTGTCAGTTTCTTAGTGATTCTCCTCATTCTGAGCAGCCTAACGCAACAGTCAGGAGTCTATCTTAATATGAACCACTTTAAGACACAGCTTTTAAGAATGAACTACATTTAAAAATAGAGACTTTTATGGTGGCTGGGACAAGGCCACACACAAAGCCAGAGTCCCAGAGGGCCCATGTGAAGAGAGCCCACCTCTGCCCACTCTGACACATGCTCACAGGTCAGTATGGTTCAGTTCTGAACACAGTTCCAGTATGAACATCCAGGTCAATGAGAAGGGACCCAGCAAGGACTGGACCTCAGTGTGGCTCGGTGGTGGACAGCAGTCACTATAGGCTTCATCGGTCCCTTCTGAAGCCTGTTCAATGGACCGGACCCCTGCCATGCCAGATTTGGCCAGAATCTCTCTAGGCAGTGACTGATTTAAGCATGAGCATCTGACCTGGGCAAGTGAAATGGAATCCTCGCTGGGGCCTCTTAGGAAAGGGCTGTGGCTTTCCCTGGTGGTGTAGGCACGGATCAGGAGTGCACGGCATGGAACAGAAGTGCATGGCCTGGAGGAAGGCAGCCTGAGAGTCTGTCTCCACTCGGTAGTTTTTGAGCCAACTATTTAACCTTTTGGAATCTCAGTTTCTGTATCTATGTAGAGTAATATTCCAATGCCCACAGCACTAGTATAAGGACTAAATTAAATAATGTGAGACACAAAGCTCAGTTCCCTGCCTCTAAGAGTCACTCAGCAATGACATTTATTTGTATAGAGTGCTGGGAGGAGCCTCTGGCACGGGGGAAGTGACTTGACTGAGGACACTGATGCAACTTTAAAATTTCTCATCAGTGAACTATCTTTCTGGCCTAATTTATACCTGCACTTCTGCTGCTCTTTAGATTAATGAGTAATACAAATGCTGAAAATTCAGGTTTTTCATTATTATGATTAATTATTCTACTTAAAAAGCACTTACCAGAATCTGTTGGTGTTGTTTTTCTACTTGATAGCCTCCAAAATGCAGTATGCCAGGTTTTGCTTGTATGACCTTATTATTCAGAAGTTTTGCATAAACCTCTATAAAAACAATGTAGAGAAGTACATCATGAGATGAAATGTAAAAGAGGATATTAAATAACAGAAAATCCTATTAACATGGGCTCTTTTTAATTTAGGATATTTTAAGCAAATGGAAGTTTCAGACAGGATATAGCTGTCAACAAGATTAATGATCTGTTCCAGATAAACTGTAGTGCCTCTTATTTTTACACAATACTTGGGAGAGATTATTATCACCATACAAATTCATGTGTAGTGTTTATCACCTATTAAAGTAATTTGCTCTTCATATTTTGTACAAGTTTTTGTAATAAAACACAAGCTCATAAAGCGCACATACTTGTCTTTGTTCTACATAACACTGTGCTTATGTAATGAATACTCAGTTCGAAGAATCTAAACACTAAGTGAACACTAAGTTTACTGTATATTTAACTGTTATTTGATTGTCTCTGAGTAGAACTATAATATGATATAGAGTAGTCTTTCTAAAAATGATATATAAAATCTATTATTTGATATATAGTAATCTTAAAGCTCTGAATAATTATCTCTCTGGACAGTAAAGCTGCAAACTGTTATTATAATATGAATATCTTTTTTTTTCTTTCCATTTTTGAGAACAAGGTTAAAACAGCTGAGCTCACAAAAGTGTCCAGGTCTATAAAATGTTCCCATCTCTACACACAGGCGCGGGCTGAGATGTGTGGAGGAGGCACTGAGAACCCACTACATAATCATTTCCATGCCTTCAGTGTCTCACGCCAGGCATACATTTGAAATCCTCACTCCAATCCTGTAAGGCAGGTATTATCTCATTTTGGAGATAAGAGTGAGACCAAACAAGATTATGCAACTTGCTCATAGTTGGTAGTTAAAAATCAAGCCCAGGTCTGTGTTATTCCAATCCTTAAACAGCCTCTCTCAATATGAATGCACTGTCAGTTTCTTATAAATGATCACCTTTCACCTTTGGCCATATCCCAGTCCTAGGGGCCACAAATACCCTTACCCATTCCTTAGCCCACTGTGATTCTCATATACATTTGGGCAAAACTGAGGGACTGGAATAAGGTTAAGATGGTGTTTCAGGGAGACCGATAATCTCTGCAGGTCATCTGGTAATTTTTAAAGTACTTTAATTAACATTATTTGATAATTTTTTTTAAAGAAGAAGGTTTTGTTTTTGTTTTTAGGGGCACAAAAATATATGTAAGCAAGCATTTTTCTCTTAATGCCCAGAAATAGTTAAGTATACTAATTTGCACTCAACAAGTTCTAAAATGACAAAAGAGCCACACCAAATACTACATTTCCAGCATTTCCAATGGGCCTTGAAAGATGGGGGAAAGATGGAGGAAAGCAACCTAGTGACGGTAGAGATTTGGACATGGAGCTGCAACAGCTGAACACTAACTCTTTGTTTAGTTTTACCACTTTGGGGAATTCATTTGACGTCTCCAAGTCTCAGCTTCCCCAACAGTAAAATGTAAATAGAATGTTGATGTCATGAGGATTAACTGAAAATAATATAGGTGAAATGATTAGGCTTTCACATAATAGCTATAGAATTTACCAGGCTTTCCCAGGTAAGGGATGTTCATGGAAAAAGGCAAGAAGGTATAACATGCCTGAGATATTGAAGGAGCAGGAGTAACAGAGGAGCTGAAGCTGGGGGTGAGAGGGACTTGGCATGGTGATGACACTGGGTAGGCAGGTTCAGATAAACAGCAAGGAGGGCCAAATGGCAACTGAAGGAGTTCCAACTTCATTCTGTATGCAAGGGGAACCCCTTAGAGTATTCCAGCAGGAGAGGGGCAGAAACCAGCCAGGATTCTACAAAGGAAACCGACTAGGGGGTGAAGAGTGGTCTGGAGGAGAGGGTGGCCAGGGTGGGAAGCACTGCAACAGCCCCGGTGACCTGCTAAGGATGAGGAACAAGGCAGTGGGGACAGATAGGAGTGGAAGCAGTACAACTTGGTGATGAATTCACATCTCGAAAATCTATCAGTTAAGTGGATGGATCTAAATAGAACCATTGTTGTGTGTGTGTGTATGTGTGCATGCGTGTTACTTAACAGAATTTTATTCTCTCAAAATTCTGGAGGCCAACAGAACCATTGTTCTTAACAAAAGGTATTATGAGCCCATAAAACAATATAGACAAGTCAACACCAAAAATTCCATTATGGACTTTGGAGCCTCTGGGAACTTGTGAGTTATAAAGTAAACCTGTTTCTAACCACTTACTTGATTCTAGGAGGTGGTTAGGCACTTCTCTTCTTTTCTTGGGCTCCTCCACTAGGCTCTTCAAAAGGAGCGGCAATGCGTTATTAAATGGTTCCTCCGCATTCTTTGGTTCTCCGCTGGGGGTTTTCACTGCTGCCATTTTATCACGAAAAATAGTCTTTTTAGAGCCAAAGGTCACAGTTCCTGGGAAGAAAATGGTACCAGTATAATAATCATCCATGAGAAACCATGCACATCTATTTTTTTTTCTCAATTGTTGACAAATGTACTTCTTGTCACTGGGTGGTTTACTGTGGTTCAGGCCCTCCCCTCTCCTCATCTCTCTGGTGGTCACTCCATTCCCACACACGGATGTCCCATTAATCTCTTTGCATCACACATCACAAACCAATATTGTGCCAGTGTTCAAAACCCTTTTCATGGACCTAATTCTCATGCCCTTTTCCTAAAATGTAGTCCTGACATGATTCTTGAGCTATTAGCGGAGGCATGTGAAGGAAAAAATAAAGTTCTCTCACAGTCGAATGAGTTTGGAGAATGTTGAACCAAACAGTTAAATAGGTCTCTCTCTCTCTCTCTCTCTTTTTTTTTTTTTTTGTATCTTCACCCAAGGACATTTTTTGATTGCTTTTACAGAGAGAGGAAAGGAGAGAAACATCAGTGTGAGAGAGAGGCATCCAGTGGTTGACTTCTTTTCACACCCAGACTGGGGATCAAACCCGCAACCTAGGTACTGTGCCCTGACCAGGAATCAAATCTGCAACCTTTTGTGTACAGGACAACATTCCAACTGAGCAACACTGGCCAGGGCTAAACAGTCCTCTTCCTTCTGAGATTTCTCCAGATCAGTTTCTCAGAGGTGACTGCAAAACCATTTAACATCTGGAGACACTTTACAGGACACTGGCATTTATGAGCCTCCTTCTTGGGCCCCTCTCTGGGGCAATGAGGAGGTGGAGACACCGTAGAGCTCCTCCATCTGCACTGGCTCGTCCATATAAGCTCTGTCTGAGGACCTGAGGTCCAGGTTCATGTCATATCCTTTGTCAGACTTGCCTTCCTTTAACACAGTTGAAGTTCCACCTTCTTCATAAAATTCACACTGATCCCAACATTCTTTAGCAATTACTCTCTTTACTACTCATTTGCCATTAACAATTCATTGCCTCGTAATGGCACTTTGCAAAGCTCACACATCTTTATATTTTCCCCAGCTAAGTCTCTTGACTTAGGGCCCTTGTACAGAAGGGGGACTGCTCTGTGGAGTCCCTGAAATTGAATGTAAAATCATGTGTGGATCTTTACGTGTTTTTTTGTTTTGTTTTGTTTTGTTTTGAGAGGGCTCATAGCCCATAGCTTTAGGTTTCCAAAAAAGTCTCTGGCATTGAGCAAAATGCAGTTGACTGCACTGAAGAAGGTGCCTAATAATCACTTTCCGAAATAAATTTCTCCTTTTCCCTCATTTCTCATCCCTCTCCCAAGCATCGCTGAAGATAACCCACACCTCAGGGCAGTTTCCACCTCACCTGCTTCACTCCCCTCCACCCAATAACACCTCTCCCAAACTCATTCTCCAGTCCCTTTTCCACCGCGTCCCTCAAATTCCCTGCCCCTCTTCACTCAGGTACAAGAGCAAAACCGTTCTCCAGGCGGGTAAATCTATCTCCGTTTTCACCCCCCCCCCCCCCCCCCACATCACGGGTCCCCTCGTCCCATCCTCTATCGGGCAGGCCCTCTTATCCTAGCCAAACGCCTGCTCCCTCAGGTCGACTTTACTCCATCCCCCGCTGTGGGTAAGGGTTGACCCCAGACCCTTGCACCGCCCGCATCCGCATTAACCCTTCAGACCCAACCTCTCCTGAGACCCCAGCCCAGGCGGACTTGGGGCTGGACACCGCCCGGGGTTCAGGCTGTCTCAGCAGCTCGACGGCAGCCAAAGGGGCCACCCTCGCCCCAGCTCCCAGGGTCGCTTACACTGGAGACTGTCCCAGGGCTGGATTCGGCGAGTGCGTCGCCATGACGACGCGGACGCGCAATCCGGCTAGGCGTGGGGCGGCGGGGGCGGGGGGCGGTTGGGGGCGGGACGCGACCAAATTCCTCAAGGATGTGGGGGGAGCCGTGCTGTCTCAGCGGGAGGAAAGGAGGCCGTGGATATCTCTTGGGGACTCTGAGCAGACTCTGGGGTCTTGGGAGAACAGAGAGAGAGAGACTTATGCGGGCAAGGCCAATGGATTCCGGAGGTGAAATGAGAAAGTCAGGAGAGACTATAAACTGGATACCTGAAAGAGCCATTCGCAGGGCGTGGGGGTGGCGGGGTCGAAGGGGGCGGGGCCGCCTCAGCTTAGTGGAGGGAGGTTCTCCAAACAACCTTCATTCCTGGACGCCCTACGTTAATGTCTTTTGTATTGCGTTTTCTGTTATGACAAATTTCAAATATATACAAAGGGAGGCATAACAGTACGATGAACCTTCAACCATCGCCTGGAACAATGATCAAATTATGGCCAGTCTTACTTTGTGTCTTTCCTCTACTCCCTGTATTATTTTGCCGAAAATCCCAGACATCATTTCACCCGTAAATATTTTAGAATATAACTTCAAAAGATAATGACTCTTCTAAAAAAAAATAACCACAATACAAATACCTAAAAATTACAATAATTTTTAACACAGTCGAATATTCTGTGCTCAATTTTCTCATGAATGTCGTAAAATATTTTTAAAAGTTTGCTGGTTTGATTCAGAATTCAAATAAAATGTAGACATTGCAATAGATTGAAACGTCTTTTAGGTCTCCTTTACCCAATAATTCTCCCTCTCTATTATTTTGTTTTTTGCAATTTATTCACTAATGAAAAGATTTGTCCTTGATACTGATGTTTAGGGGTTATGGCCATGAAACTGGGTCTGCTCCCCAAACTTCCTGCCTTGTCTCCTCCACCTGCTCACCCAAGGACATTATTCCTTACACAGACGGCTTAGGCCCCTCTTTCCCCAGAATCTGCCCTTGTCTTGCTCCCTCTGTATATGACCTGACACTTGTCTGGTGTTATTTATGGCTTCATGTTGACAAGCGATTATAATATTCAGTGAGGATTCCTGTCTTTCTCACACTCACATCACTTGTCCTCTGTGTGGTTTTGTTTTTTACCCTTCACTGTGAATGTTTATCTTCTCAATCTTACTCTCCGATCCCTCCCTCCTGGCTGCTATCATCACTGAATAAAAATCTCTCTTTCTTTTAGGGCTAGCAGTAGAGATGGTGTATCTCCTACCCTTTCCATAATCCTGTGGGTCAAGAGGGCTGTTTCCCTCCTCTGGGCTTCTATACACTTTGATCCACCATCTTTTTGGCTCTTATCTTTTTATATGTTGTACCCATCATTATTTGTGTAGGTGTCTTAAACCACAGAATTCTTAGGGGGAGGAGACAATGCTTTATCTGTGGATCTCCCACAGCACTTGACAAAGTTCTTTGCTCATAGTGATTACCCAGTAACTGTTGGCCAAGTGGGTAAAATGTTCTTTTAGTTCTTTCTATTTGTTGCCCCAACAAAACTGTAGATGCTTCCAATAGTGACAGAATTTTCCACATAACTCAAATCATCAAATGCTTGTTTCCATACATTTTTTAAATGGGTATTGGGTAACACCTTTTAATTTATTCTTAATTTTTGTCTTAGAAAAATTGCCAAATTCTCTATTTTATATACAGATATGCTATAAAATGTAGGTCTTGGTACAATCAATTAACAAAATTGCACATTATAATGTAGTGGACACCGCTAGTTGCCTACTTCTTCTTTCTTACCAACAGAGCCTCAGCTTTGCTTAGGTTCCTTCCCACATCCCCAGTTCCAGCAGCAGGTCCTGATTAGTCTAGACCAATCATTGAATTCCTGATTCTTTTTCCCACAGTTGATTTAGAGCTGAGTATATAATCCAATTCTGGCACAGTGACATTAAGGGAAAACTTCTGGGGGTCCTTTGGAATAGGCTTCCTCTCTCCTAAGAAAGAGACACACATAGATACAGTATCTTTCTTTTTCAGGACATTGTCATGTCCAGATGTGATTCCTTGGAATTGCAGCAGCCGTCAGAAGCCATGAGGGGCTACAGCATTAATGTGAAGCTGATGAGGACAGCAGAAGAAAGGAAGAAGACTCTGGACCTGGATGACACCATTTCACATTTAATTGTTTGATACCCATATCCCATATCTCTTTCTTTTAGTTGAAAGTGTTCTCTGTTCCTCTGGCACTGATTGTAGATGTGAGGCTACAGAACTTCTGTAGACATCTGCCTACAGCAAGGTTAATCTGAGACTATCCCACTCAGAGGCAGGCAGAGCCCAGAGCAGCATGGCACACAGAGCCTGAGCCATGCACCATTCCACCCTGAAGCATGCTCTACGTCTGGACATTCAGTAATGTAAGCGGATATTTGTCCATATTACTGTTTCAGCTAGTTTGAGTTGGTTTGTCTGTTTTCTGCAGTCAAATGAATCTTAATTATATATCCAGACAATGTAATTGCACTGAATTATTTTCAACCTCATGGCAATGCCAAAATATGGGTATTACTTTTCCCATTACACAGATGAAGAATTGAGTCTTAGAGTGTCAAAGTAACTTGCCCAAGGTCTCAGGGCTAATTGATGCTTAGGTCAGGATTTGAATCCAGTTTTGTCTGGTATGAATATTCTGTGTGCCAAGTCAAATTGCCTTATCAGGAAAAAATGCAGGGAGCTCTTGGGAGATTGGGGTGCCCCTAACTTTCTGTACTCCATTCAGTGAAAATAAGGCGTTGGGAGCAATAGCAACATTGTCTTTCATATATAGTTTTATTTGCTCCTTTTTCTTTGATATGTTTTAACCATAATATTTCATATAAATATTCAAATGGATGCTGACAAATGGAGGAGGGAAATAAGAAAAATGAAGGAAAAACTGCTTTTCTGAGAAAACCAGTCCACATTTCCAGAGTGTGAACAGTGAACCTGAACCATAAAAACCTCATTAAAATGTCAGTGGTATATCTTTGTACTTCAGCACTGAATAGGAAATCATGCTTGCCCCATTACTTATGGCTCATCAGTAATGCATTAGCTTGGCTTCCAGTAAAGCTCACATTCAGGTGAAGACAGACCTTTTAGTTTGGTTTTTTGAGCAGCTGAAGGGGCAGA